AACACAAAAAACCAACAATAAGTTTGTTCCAAATTTGATTCAGAATCCCTCTAGACTGTTCCAATTTACTTTGATGTAGAAAACGCATTTCATCGAATGCCTTTTGGATTAAAAAACACCCCCACAACATTCCAATGTTTGCTTCAAATTAGTTGAAAATTGTAGATTCTCCTCAATGAATTCGCAATATTTTATTCTAATTTGAACCAGACACAATATAAAATTAATCAACAATTACCGATTAAAATTCAATTTGCGTCTGCTAAAGCGGCCGCCCATTAGTCGAAGTTAATCAACAATTAACAACCGGAAGGAAAACCAAGATTCGATATTAATTTATGCCGATATGCAAACCTGTATTTATTGCATGTAAATTTTTTCGTTGCCGCGGCAATTTGTTTCGTCATTGCTACCTGCATCTCGGTGTCACTGCAGCGACACCTATAAAAAGACTATTAAGTCTGGTTTTATTAAATTAATTTCCGATACATCAACTGCGGGTAAAACATCATAAAAGGAAAAGACACCGCAAAATATAAGTTAATTCGTAAATTGCTGGCTTTTAAAAATAATTACCATGTAGGAATGGGTAGTTGTTAGGCAGCTGTTTCCCTAAAAAAAAATACCCCAAACGTAGGGACTAATTTTGAACGCAAGAATTTTTAATTACTTTGATCAAAACCGATTCTCACACTATAATAATGGCCGGTGCATATAGGGCTGAAGTGATTTATGATGCCACCTCAATTTTGATACATTGTTGTTGAGTCCCAGAGTTTTATGTATAGCTTGAAAAATTATATTAGGAATAGGGTTGAAAGTAGAAGAGATACGTTTAGGAATGGGAATTTGTAGAACATAAAGATCTTTATTGCTCCTAGTGAATTCAGTAAAGAGGGAATACAAATATTCAATTCTGATCGCTATTTGTTATAGGTCTCTAGCACAGATACGAACTTATCATATCGATATTTAGGTATGTTTTAAATGATCAGGAAAATTCATATTTTTTCTATTCCAGGCTCTTGAATTTCCTTTATTTCAAAAAATTCAATAGACAATAATTGAAAAAAAGCAATAAGAAATTCAAGAAAAATTGAGAAAAAACTAATGAGTAAATTTCATAATTCTTGAATGGCGGTAGATTAAGCAATATGGAGTAAAAGTTTCATTTTTCCTGTTGTCCTTTTTTGCATAAATTTGGACTCTAAATCTAACAATAATTCACTTTAAGTGGATGGTCATTCAAAGACAAAATTATTTAATTATGTATCTATGAATATTCATAAATTCTTCTTTATCAAATAGATTTTAGGTTTGTCATTTGGTAATGTTTAGTAACCACATTGTTTATGGTTGAAATGTAATCAAAACCAGAGAAAGATACGGATAGAAAAACTAAATGAGGAAAACAAGAATGTCATGGATGATGAAGAAGACACTGAAATAAACACATCACATCAGCATAAACAACTTCGAGTCCAAAAAGGCATGAAAGACTAAACGAGGACAGCTCTACTTTTGGACATCCATCATAACTGACTTCTTTACAAAATGTCCTTTAGTTACACCATCCATATTAAACATAACTAAAATCCACGGTCCTCCATATTAATACGATTCCAATTGGTGAAATTAATTTTCCGCTTCATGCACACCAGACAAAATTTTTGATAAATGCCCCGGCGAGTTTTCGTACATAGCCGTCGCGCTAATGACATTTCTTAATCTTTTGGCTTAAGAGAGTGATTGGCCTCAAAATGTTGGCACGTTAACTGGAAATATATTAATGTTAGCAAATATGCAGACTCACCGGCGCCACACACATGTGGTTCTAATTTGGCTATTCAGTATAGAAAAACACTGAATTTTTTTTAGGCCAGATGGTTAAAATTGAAGCCTTTTAAAAGCATAATCAGATAACTTCGAAATTAGTATTATTAAAAATGACACATTAAATTGTCATGGGTCCTATAATGGGCTGTTATTAACTTGTGAATGGTACCCCTTTTATTAGGCACCTTTTTTTTGTGAAAAGATAATTTATGTTGCATGGAAGAAGTTTTCGCTGACAGAACGAAATTGTTTTAAAAACATATTTCAAAGTCAGATTTGGCTGAATATTCATGTTTATATGTAACTTTCTTAATTTTAACTTCATATTCTTCATTTGTTGTTCAAATAATCAATAATTGATTGTCCTTATTTATTTAGGTACTATTATTCTATTTCTGCTTGGTGGTGTCAGGAATTGGAACACCTTAAGAAAAGTGTTCAATAGTACCTATTGCCAGGGAGCAAACATTTTTTGTATCAAAATTAAAGACAAATTGTACCAGATTCAGTAAAAATGTACCAGCCTATAATAGGGTGGGGGGTGACCATACTTTTTTCTCAAATGTCACTTTAGAAATAACATTCCAAGACCTACTGGATTGGAACCCGAGTAAAGTTGGCTACAAAGCAGTGTTGCCACCTGAAAAGAAAAATTATAAATTCTCTAAAAAGTTGTTTTTTACTGATTTTTTTTTTCGTTCTTAATTTTAATTTAAAACTAAAAATTTTTGGCTGAAAATGAAGGAAATTCAAAGCCTCGTACTTTAAATCGGTTTTCCCGGCCAGGAAAAGCGGAAAATCTAAAGAAAAACCTCTGAATAGGACATTCTAAAGCCTACTTGATGAAATTTGAGTTTTTGTTACTTACCCTATTAGAAAACTGAAAATTTTTGGCACAAAATGAAGGAAACTCAAAGCCTCGTACTTTAAACTATTTTTTCCGTTTTAAAACGGCCTGGAAAAGCGGAAATTTTGAGGAAAAACATGGATAAAAACACTCAAAATGGTCGACTTTCCAAATTGACAAATGACATTTATTACAAGGTTAACATGATTGAAGTTGGCTACAAACGATGTTGCCACATCAAAACTTCCAGAAAAAGCATTTAAATGGGATTTTCCTAATTATTGCATTTAAAAATATAAATTTGTGCTAGAAAATGAAGAAAACTCAAAACCTTGTACTTAAAATCGGTTTTCCCGACCGAAAAAGCCCTAAAAAAGCGGAAAATTCAAAGAAAAACTTCTGAAAAGGACATTCTAAAGTCTACTTGATGAAATTTGAGTTTTTGTTACTTACCCTATTAGAAAACTGGAAATTTTTGGCACATAATGAAGGAAACTCAAAGCCTCGTACTTTAAACCATTTTCTCCGTTTTAAAACGACCTGGAAACGCGGAAATTTTGAGAAAAAACATGGATAAAAACACTCAAAATGGTCGACTTTCCAAATTGACAAATGACATTTATTACAAGGTTTACATGATTGAAGTTGGCTACAAACGATGTTGCCACATCAAAACTTCCAGAAAAACCATTTAAATGGGATTTTCCTAATTATTGCATTTTGAAATAAAAATGTGTGCTAGAAAATGAAGAAAACTCAAAACCTTGTACTTAAAATCGGTTTTCCCGACCGAAAAAGCCCTAAAAAAGCGGAAAATTCAAAGAAAAACTTCTGAAAAGGACATTCTAAAGTCTACTTGATGAAATTTGAGTTTTCGTTACTTACCCTATTGAAAAACTGAAAATTTTTGGCACAAAATGAAGGAAACTCAAAGCCTCGTACTTTAAACCATTTTTTCCGTTTTAAAACGACCTGGAAAAGCGGAAATTTTGAGAAAAAACATGGATAAAAACACTCAAAATGGTCGACTTTCCAAATTGACAAATGACATTTATTACAAGGTTAACATGATTGAAGTTGGCTACAAACGATGTTGCCACATCAAAACTTCCAGAAAAAGCATTTAAATGAAATTTTCCTAATTATTCCATTTAAAAATATAAATTTGTGCTAGAAAATGAAGAAAACTCAAAACCTCGTACTTAAAATCGGTTTTCCCGACCGAAAAAGCCCTAAAAAAGCGGAAAATTCAAAGAAAAACTTCTGAAAAGGACATTCTAAAGTCTACTTGATGAAATTTGAGTTTTCGTTACTTACCCTATTGGAAAACTGGAAATTTTTGGTACAAAATGGAAAAAACTTAAAGCCTCATATTTAAAATAGGTTTTCCTAATTGAAGAAGCTTTGGAAAAGCGGAAAATCCAAAGAAAAACCTCTAAAAAGAACATTCCAGCACCTACTTGATGAGACTTGAGTTTTTGTCACTTACCCTATTGGAAAACTGGAAATTTTTTGCACAAAATAAAAAAAAACTCCAAGCCTCGTACTTTAAACCAATTTTTCCGACTTAAAACGCCCTGGAAAAATGGAAAATCCAAGGAAAAACTGGATAGAAACGTTACTGCAAAATGGCCGACTAAAAGCGACATTTGACATTAATGACATTTTAAATGGTTTAATTTAATTAAAACCTGTTGAATAATTAAATAATAACGATTATAAAACAATAAATTTCCCAAATAAGGTCTTGGAAACTTGTTTTTAGTTTAATTTTAATGAAAAAATGTTTAATTATTAATTATATGTGAGTGAGACAAAGACAACAATAAAGTAGTATACGTTTGCAAAAACCCCAAATGGATGAGATAAAGTAGGATGCCATTTAGAACGCAAAATTATCAAATTACGATGAAAACCAAACAAAGCAAATATTTGATAAAGTAGTACCTTCTACCAGCGTACTTTTTCAAAGCGAATGGTACCAAATTTGATACAATTGTACCACCTCTGGCAACACTGTGAATATTATAAGATCCTTAAATATTTCATTCCTTCAATAATTTTTAGATAATCACTGTCATATAAAATTTAAATCCTGTTATGGAAGACACGTGGATTTTTAGATGGGTAGGAGGGTCGACTTTATCGACGTTTCACGATCAAGCTCCCTCACTTTATCGAACTGCCGTTAAATAACAGGGTACCCCGAAAAAACTACTTATATTATAATAAAGTCTATACGCCACACCTCGGTAAAAGACCCGTCATTAGTTTTTGAGGAATTTTAATTTAAAACTTGTTTTTTTTTTTGTTTCAGATACGCCAAGAAAAGCCCTATTACATTGCGGATCCTGAAGTAGACTCCTTAGTAAGTGAATTTTTTAGTTTGAATATGAAAACAACAAAATACAGATCAAAAGATACACTGCCCGCTTTTTGAATTGAATTGCAAATTTGGCATGGGTTATTCTTGCATAAAAGAACAAGATTTTTATTAAGGCATTTGATTCGTTAAATTCAAAGAATACCCCATAATTTAATATAAATTATTAATTCTCTCATTTATCTTTTTGTAAGCAACCGGCATCTTTTGTTTTATCGAAATCTATTGTAGAGTGGTTGTTTTAGCATGTCAATTTGAGGTAATTTTCTTGTTTATTTGCACAAAATAGGCTAATTGATGTTCCATTGACGTAACAATAATATATTTTCGGTATATAAATTTTTAATGGTACACATAATTCAAGTAGTTGTTTGTTGTTCTTGAATTAAATTAAATTTTACTTATTCATCACTCTTGTGACACCAAAAATTTAATAAAGAAGCATGCGTTAATCAAAAACGCGTCAAGCGTAACTTAGGGGTGGCGTTTTGTTACTCACCCCCCGGTAATATCATTACGACACTAGCTAAATTTAATTACGGAATTAGATCAAAACCCCTTTTCGGTTCTCACATTAAAAATAATTGTATGATGTGCGGGTGCGAATAAGTGTGTACCGGATTCCCAATAAGATGCAAACATTGTTAGTGTAGTGTTTGTGTGTGTGTGTTTCGAGGGCTTCTTTGTTTGGACTCGGTTTTACCACACATTATTGATTCAGTGTTAATTTGAGCTACTCTAAATGCCTCTTGTGTACTATCAGTATTAGTTGAATAGGATCAAAGATTAATATATATAGTAATATATATATTTTTTTGAAATGTGCTTCAGGCTTTTTAATGTCGAAAGACGAAATTTTAGTTGCTGGAATTAGTCACATACTGTAGGCCCTTAGGCCTGTATTGTCCAGCTTTCAGGTCTCTTAGGATGTTGGAGACCACGATTCTATCCATCTTTTTGGAGATCTTCCTAAGGGTTGGTGTTACTATTTCTAGCGATTTTTGCTAGTCTTTCTTTAGTCATCCTGTCCAGGTCGATTTGATCATGATTATGATATTTGAGTAAATTGACAATAAATTAGAAAAGCAAATATTTCATGACTTGAAATTATTGATCACATTGTATAGTTTTAGTTATTTATGAATCATCAGCCAGAAGTTTCGGACAACAATAACAAAGGCGACAGACGTTTTTGTAGATAGAAATATGATTGATGTCTTTGTTGTCCAAAAAGATACAACTACCTGAAAATCTAGTATTAATGCATTTTGCCTTATAAAGGTTTGACATTTTACTCTTATCTTGCAATTTTATTCAGAATCTGAAAGGGATAGGAATTCGTCATCAGATCCCCACACGTAGTCTTTGAACTTCGAAGGTTTTGCAATTTTCTTAGTTGATTTACGGCTCGAACATGATTCTTTAATTATTTTTACCTTTGGGGGTGTTACACAAGTCTCTGGATAACATGGCTGGTCATAACAATTATTATTACTATCATTTACATTCACATCAACACTTACTCTATGTCCCTCGTCAATAGATTTTTTAGAATCATTTTGTTTAGTGCTCGCCAAAACGCCAGAGTACCTACAGTACTATTGTTATTAGTCTTTCAAGAATCCCCTACGCCAATGCTATTTGCATGGGAGAAAGTTACCCTCAATCAAGGCTGTACTGACTGGCAAATTCACGAAATAGTCAGAATTCATGTCCATTTTTATTTTTATTCCCTGAAAATCTCTTATTTGATTCGCAAGACCGCTGAACCTGGTGTTGAGCAGTATTAGAATTAATTTTTGGAACTCGACCCTGTTCACTCCTACCATGAAAATCCCGTGGATCTCTTTGGATTTGGTTTGCATGGCGATTCCAAACTTGACCTATTGGTAAGGTACATATATGTACAGGGTGTCCGAAAAATTTACATGTGGTTTTTCCAATTTGGCCTCTCACCATGGCTGGAACTCTAACTCTCCTTGTTTGTGTTTCTATGATTCTTGACCAGGACACTCTCCTCCACTTCAAAGTTCCTTCCCTCCATAATTTCTAATACTATTAACGGCAGTAAGTTTTCACCTCTGGGTTGGTTCTAACTCCAGGGTAAACGTGTCTTAAGGCCGCTTTCTCAATAGCAAGTCACCTCCGGGTTAAGCATAACTCCAAGGTTAACAAAGCAACTAGACAAGCTCACCCTGGAGTTAAACTTAACCCGGAGGAGACTCGCTATTGAGAAGCCGGCCCTCACGTGTTCAGTTGCAATGAAGTTATGCTTAACCCGGTGATAATTTGCTATTGAGCAACCGCCCCTTAGGGCCGAATTTATAGTTGCTTCTTTAGGTTTTCTCAGACCTCAAGGAGGCCTTGAACATTTAGAATTGACATGACTAACTTGTCACATAGTAGCAAGTGTCCATTCTAAACTCACGACCTTTGAAGGTTCCTGAAAAATATTTTTAGCCATCCTACCAACTTGAATCTTGAATTTATAGATCTCATTGAGAACTACAAAAAAGTTTATTAGATGCTCCGTGGAGGGGTACACGGAGCATCGTTTTTGAGAAAATCGACTTCAAATCTTTCAATACATTTTCAGAGAAATTTGAACTTTGACGGCTCGGAGACAGAAACAACCTGGAATATCAATACGAAACAAATTTGTAGGTAATTTAATGTTCTTTCAAAAGAAACTAGATTCGAGATGATCGGTTCGAAATCACCAAAGTTATAAGCGAGAAAGTGGCGCCGTGTCCGGTCCCCCAAAATTTTCCAGGAGAAAAATCTTTTTTTATTTTTTTGCGGGCTTAGGAAGCGTCGGGGCAAAAAATGTCTAAAGACATTTTCGACGTATTTTTTGCTCCTCTATCCGATGAAAATTTTAATTTTTCAAAATTCGGGAAATTAAATGCAGGGCGCGTTTACCATATACCCCATTACACGCCCTTTTTCAAAATTGTGGGGATAGGGGCTAAAACCTTTCCGGTAAGTTGTAGAGGGCTGAAACTTAAAATTTCAACTTTTTCAGATTCCTTTCACCTACATTCCAGATTTCGTCTGAATCGGCCCCAAAAAAATTTTTAGGGGCCCCCAGGGGGCTTTGCTTTCTAGATAGGGGCCTCTCGTATTTTTTTTCGATAGAGTTCTCGTTCCACTATATACGTGCCAAATTTCAGCTCGATCGAACCAGCGGTTCGGCCTCAGCGATTTTTTGAAAATTAATTCCTCCCATCGATGAAGCCGATGAAGGGGCTAAATACATCACCAACTTGGGTCGTCATATTTAGGTCGCAAAGGGGGCCCCCCTCGAAATATTGCGTTTTTTATGTTTTCCCTCCAAAATTTTTTCAAGGAAGACCCAAGGAACGACTATAAATTCGGCCCTTACCTGACCAACTACATCTTACAACTAGGGATTCCCATCCAACTGAAAACATCGATGTTTTGGTATCGATAAAACATCGAAAGCTGATATTGATGTTAAGAAAATATTGATAGAAAAACATCGATGTTTTCTCAACATCGATTCTTAGATTGTAAACTATGTAAAAATTTCGGGGAGCCTGCGGTCTCCCCCCCAGACCTACATTTTGGATGCGCCACTGTTTTTGGTTCAAGGTTTTTCACAAAACTGGTTCTCTTTTACTTGTGATAAGGTTGTTCTTGGTTTTCTTCCATACATGAGAAGGAAAGGTGTTTTGCTAGTTGTTGAATGTGGAGTTGTTCTGTATGTAAATAGAAATCTGGAAATCAAAGTTTGAATTTGGAAGTTTGCAATTTCTTGAATCGTCCAAACCTTGCGAATATTTTTCTAAATTTTCCTGTTTCACATGCTGAAGTTTATTTCATCAGAAAACATTCCACCCACTCAGTATATGAGTCTAAAATTATGAGATACCTACATTTTTCCTTTAAACTCCAAAAAATCTATGTGTATGTGTATTCTTTGAAATGGTCTGTTGGTTAATTCCCATGGAGTAAAATCTGTTTTTGGTAGATTTTGCTTATTTGCCAAGCAAGGAAAACATGCTTTCATTAATTTCTCAACATCTTCATCGATCATTGGCCAGTAAACCAGAGATCTAGCATATACCCATATGGCCAGAATAAATGAGTTCTGATATTTTTGGTTTCAAAGTTTTTGGTATTATTACTCCATCACCCCATATAGAAGGATATTGTTTTCTATGGAAAATTCATTTCTTCTATTGTAATATGGCATTATTTTGTCATCTATGCTTTTAAGCCATTTGTTGTTCTTTACATTTTCTATAATTGTCTTTTTCTGTAGAAATTTCTTAATACTTTGTGGGTCTTTCACAGGGCTTCTGCTGAAATAATTTGCAAGTTCTGAACCTTTTATGTATTGAATTTAATAGTTAAGCATCGAAAAAAAAGCCGCCCAACGACATTTGCTACTAAGCATTTGTAATCTGTTCTTAAAATGAATTTAATACCACAAAAATATTGATATAAGCTTTTAACAGTGTAATAAATGGCAAGTTCTTTTTCCATCGTAGCAATGGTTCTTTTTTCACAATCGGATAAAGTTCTAGAGAAGCAAGTTACAGTTCTTTCCTGTCCGTCTGAAATAAAACTCCAGAAATACCCAAGTTAGAGGCATCACAAGTCACCACTATTGACCTTCTTTGCTAATTTTGTGACCTAAATAATTATTTTCTTTCTGAAAAAAATAACATTTTTCTTTTCTCAATGTGAAACCTGCTTCTGTCAATCTTCTAAAAATCAATTCTAAATTCTCCTGTGATGATCAAGTCGTCCAAGAATGAACACTCCAACAATGCCTTGTATAAGTTGATCCATTATAGGTTGGAAAATTGCTGTCGCTGTCTTCATTCCAAATGGCAATCTTCTATGACAAAAAGGTCCCAATTGAGTATTCCGTGTTCAAATTTCTGAAGTTTCTTCATCCACCTCTATTTGGTTTTATGCTGATCTAATATCAATCTTTGAAAAATACTCTCCTC